TTTTTTCAGTTGTTGTAAGCCATTTAATTTTGTTCCCAGTGGCTTAATACTCACTCCAACTGTGGGCAAGGAGGTAATATGGGCAAAGTACAATATGTAGAAACAAATAACACTCTAGAAAAGAAATTTTAAAAATCCAATACTATTGGGCTGGGGTTGCAGCTCAGTGATACAGCACTTGCCTAGCACATGTGAGGCCCTGGGTTTGATCCTCAGCACCACATAAAGATCAATAAAATAAAGGTAATGTATCCATCTACAACTACAAAAAATTTTTTTAAAAAAATCCATATTATTATAAGGCTTAGTACATCTTTCAATCTCTTCTTAACAAATACTTAAAGCAGTCTCGAGGGGCTGGGATTGTGGCTCAGCGGTAGAGCGCTCGCCTAGCATGGGCAGGGCCTGGGTTCGATCCTCAGCACCACATAAAAATAAAGGTATTGTGTTGTGTCCATCTACACCTAAAAAAAAAAAGTATTTATAAAAAAAAAAAGCAGTTTTGAATCTGAAGTCTATATTCCAAAAATAAACAGGTCTATTGCATTTTAATTTTTCTATAACTTTGATTAGCCTCCAGCTAGAAGAGCAAAAGAAAAATTTATGATGAGTTTAGGCAGAGGAACAAAATGCAAACAACCCAGTTTTCAAATTATTAAATGAATAACACAAAGTGTTTATAATTATACTTTGAACACAGTAAGCACTCTATAATTGCTAGCTATTAATATTATAAGACCTAAAATCTAAATAATTTCTTTTAACTATTATTAATGTGAAATTATGTGATAAAATATGCTGCATAATTGATTACAGTAAATAATGGGCTCTAGTTTTTTAACACCATTGGGAATACCAGGACCACTGAACATAGCAGAGAATTACTCATAACTTAATAGTTTAACAGAAATCTTCTGAGGTGATGCAGCACACCTGTAATCCCAGTGACTCATGAGGCTGAGGCAGGGTTGAAATTGTGGCTCAGTGGTAAAATACTTGCCTGGCATGTGTGAGGCCCTGGGTTTGATACTTAGCACCACATATAAATAAATAAAACAAAAGATTTATTGACAACTAAAAAAAAAAAAAAAAGAATTTAAAAAGAAAAAAAAAAAAAAAGAGGCTGAGACAGAAGAATTGCATGTTTGAGGCCAGCCTCAGCAACTTAGTGAGGCCCTAAGCAATTTAGCAAGACCCTGTCTCCAAATAAAAAGGGCTGGGGATGTGGCTCAGTGGTCAAGTACCTCCGGGTTCAATTCCTGCTACCAAAACAAAACAACAACAAAAAAAAAGGTTTAACAAAAAGTCAACCAAAATAATTAGGGCCTAGTAGTTCTTTGAGGAATATAGTTCTTTAGTTACTTTTCCAATTTTATATGTTTATTGCTCTATTGAAGTTTCAGTTAATATTTTTATTATTCTGCTGAGGTTTGGATATGTTTTGGCTATTTTTTCTTATCACATTTTGCTGCTTAGCTGGAGTTTTTAATTTATAAGAACAGGATTAAGGACTGGGGCTGTAGCTCAGTGGCAGAGCACTTGCCTAGCTTGTGTGAGGCACTAGGTTTGATCCTTAGTACCACATAAAAATAAACAAATAAAATAAAGGCATTCTGTCCATTTATAACTACAAATTTTTTTTTTAAAGAACAGGATTAATATATATATATATATAGACTGTCCTTACTGTATATTTCTTATAACTTCCTTTTTTTCTTATCAGTATTTATTAAGTTTACTGATTTAAGTTCCTTGACTTAACAATGAAGTTACATTCTAATAAGCCCATCATAAGCTGAATAGTATTTAAAAGACAGAGAATGGTTGTATATGTTTTTGCACCATTAGTAAAGCCAAAAAATTGGTAAAACCAACCATCTGAAGTTGGGGGCTGCCTGTATTAACTGTCTATACCTCATCTCTAAGGCTGCAAATTTTTCTTCTCCCTTTTTATTCCTTAATATACAAGAAGTTTTTCTATCTTATTAGACCTTTCACAGAACCAATTCTTGAATTTCTACATCAATTTCCTTTTGTCTCCCTCTTATACTTTTTTCTGTTTGTTAACTTGTTAATTTCTTCCATGTGTTTGTTTATTCTTATATAACAACCTTACCAGTTCTATTGTTCTAATTTTTATATTCTCATTTATATTTTGTGTCTTTGTTCTGGCAAAGATAATAAAAGCTCTTACTACCATTTTTGGAATTCTCCCTTTTTTCATTTATTACATTTTTAACTTTTTGATTTACTTGTTTTGCTCTAATGGTACCTGAGGCATAAAAATAAAAAGTTCATTATAATTTTATACTGTTTATCAATACTAAATAACCTCTGGTTCTCAGTTAATACATTTTTGCCTTGAGAATCTGGCTTCATCTGCTATTAGTACCGTGATCCATGATTTATTTATTTATTTGTTTATTTGTTTGTTTTTGGTTCCAGGGATTGAATCCAGGTGTGTTCAACCACTGAGCCACATCCTCAGCCCTTTTTTTGTATTTCATTTAGAGACAGAGTCTCACTGAGTTGCTTAAGGCCTTGCTAAGTTTCTGAGGCTGGCTTTGAATTTTCGATCCTCTTGCCTCAGCCTCTCTTAGCCATTGGGATTACAGGCATGAGCCACCACACCCAGCCATGATTTATAGATGTTTGTCTGACACATTTTTGCCTGGTTTTACTTTTAACATTTAAAACAGCTTTATTAAGATATAATTCACACCATACATATTTGTTTCCTATGGCTACCACAAACTTAATGGCTTAAAATCACAAATTGATTTTCTTGGTTCCTCTGGGATAAAGTCAAGGTTGTCAGAAGGCTGGAGCCTCCATTTCTTTGCCTTATTTAGCTTTTGCCTAGCTTATATTCCCTGGTTCCTGACCCCTTCCCTGTAGATACCCAACCTCTTGGCTTCCACCAACATATCCACTTCTATATTCCACTGTATAGATACACCAATTTTATTTATCTATTCATCAGTTGGTAAATATTTGTGTTGTTACCACTTTTCGGCTACTATAAATAATGAACATTGTATACAAGCTTGTTTATGAACATATTTTCAGTTCTCTTGGGTATAATTTAGGAGGAGAATTTCTAGAGCACATGATAAGTCTGCTTTTAACATTTTGAGAAACTGTGAAACTGACTTCTAGAGCAATTGTGCCATTTTACATTTTCACCAGTTTCTCCATATCCTCACCAACACTCATTATTGTTTACTCTTATCCTAGTGGGTATAAAGTGTTATTTCATTGTGATTCTGACATTTCCCTAATAACTAATGATTATACTTTCTTGGTATAATCATTGGTAGTATCATTTGCAGCTACTTTTGATATTTTTGATTGGCTATGAACATTTCATATAAATTGATTACAGTTTTGATTTGGATTGTTGTTCTAATCTGAAGGAAAATCTTTGTTTTTAACAAAGCAGTTTAAACCACTCATATTTATGGCTTAAAACAGAATTAGTTTGCCTTGCTAATATTACCTTGCTCTATATTTTGTGTTTTTGTCTTTCTTGTTTTAAATTTCTTCCCTTGTTCTCTATCTTTTGCATACTGACTTGGCTTTTTGTTTTTAATTTTCTTTAGATGTCTGGAAAACTAGATACATAGATAAACCACATTTTATTAATTCCTGCATATTGCTTCTAATTTTGCTGGTATTTGCATTTTTAACCTATATTTTATCAAACACTGCTTTTTAATCTTAGTCTGGTCCATCTTGTTTATAGAGACAGTATCTTTTTGTATTCCATGGAGGAGGCCAACAATTTCCCAAAACTTTTTTTTTAGATTTTTCAGTGACTAATTTTCAGAAATGTTGTTCTGGGTCTTCCAGATGAGTCTTTTTCATAGATCACATTATCATTTTTATTAGTAGTAGCACTGTTTACGATTTTAAATACTGAAGAGGAAAAGCCATGTCCAAATTTCTTATTTATTAAAAGTGTGATGGTAAGGAATGCTTGTCAGGCATCATTTGAACTAGATGGCTTCTATCATATTCTTCTAAGGAAAAGTCCTAATATGCATCTTAATTCTAGGGTCACAGAAACAAATGTAATTTAAATCCTGTCAGATTATTATTCTATTAATGATTAAAGACCACAGAAAGAGTAGTTGATGTTGTATATGTATGGAAAGGCAAAATACTATTTTTAGAAAATTAACTATAGTTATAAAATAAAAATACTCAAGGTGGGTGAGTTGGCACATGCATTTAGTATCAGCCTCAGGAGCCTGAGGCAGAGGACTGCTTGAGGCCACAAGTTTGAGACCAGCCTGAGCAACGTATTTTTCAAATGTATTTCTCAACTGAAGCAGAGTATTAAATTAATTCTTTGAAGAAATGCAAAAATGTAACTCAGTTATCTGGTCAATAAAATGCTCCCGGCTGGACACACCTGTAATCCCATCAGCTTGTGAGGCTGAGGCAGGAGGATCATGAGTTCAAAGCCAGCCTCAGCAAAAAGCAAGTTGCTAAGCTACTTAATGAGACCCTATCGCTAATTAAAATACAAAAAAGGGCTGGGAATGTGGCTCAGTGGTCCAGTGCCCCCAAGTTCAATCCCTGGTCAAAAAAAAAAAAAACCTCCCAGGTTTCCCTTAAAAAGTTGACACCTTAGAACTATCTAGCATTTGTTTCAGACATAAATCACTCATTTTCTTACAAAGTCTTGCATTGGTTTCTTAATAAACATAAATCACTCATTTTCTTACAAAGTCTTGCATTGGTTTCTTAATAAACAAAACATTATCTTTCTCCTATTGCATCTGACGAGATAAAATACCTTGTTATAGAAAGTAGAAACACTAATAATCCTTTTTGTTTTAATCTGCATTAAAAGGTTTGAAAACCGGTTCCCATCTTCTATCCCTAGAGGAGAAGAATACAGAAGTGCTAACTATTGTACTGGAAAGAAGATCAAAAGACAACACCCACACAAAGCAAAGGGCATCTGAGCACACAGCTTAGTTCTGACTTACCACATTCTCCAAAGGTGCTGCACCAAACACTTTAAAAACGGGGTTGGGTTTGGAGGGTGAGATACAAAGGACAATAGCTTGCTGTCCCACTCGAGTTGTATATTCATCTAATGTGGCTCGAAGTTTCCTGAATCAGAATGAAAAGAGAACAAAAGCAGTTAAAGAAAAGAAATTATAGTGACACAAAGAAAAATCAAACTTACTTGGTAAGTAATTCTGATCAGATATTCATTGTTTTACCTAAATGTGAAAAAAGGAGTGTGAGGTGTGATAGCCTCTTTAGACCATTCTCCTAAAGAACAAAAATGAGCCCGGTGATACAAAAATTTTGCCTTGGATGATTTTTTTTTTTTTTTAAGAGAGAGAGAGAGAGAGAGAGAGAATTTTTTTAAATATTTATTTTTTTAGTTTTCGGTGGACACAACACCTTTATTTTATTTTTATGTGGTGCTGAGGATCGAACCCAGCTCCCTGCGCATGCCAGGCGAGAGCACTACCACTTGAGTCACATCCCCAGCCCCTGCCTTGGATGATTTTGAACACAGCAGTAGTCTTCCTAATCTTAACCAACACCATCTATTGCTACTTTCAAGGATTATGGCTGAGATCTCCTCTTACAAACGTTATTATCATGTCTATGCTTAATGAAGGGGTTTAAATGACTTGCTTCTAATTTCTTTTATTGACAGTCATTTTTTATTTCTCACAGACATAATTTTATCCAAAAATACTATTTAAAAAACATTGTAGTGTCAGATTTCCATTGTGATATAAACAATAACACTTATGCATCTTAATTCTAGGGTCACAGAAACAAATGTAATTTAAATCCTGTCAGATTATTATTCTATTAATGATTAAAGACCACAGAAAGAGTAGTTGATGTTGTATATGTATGGAAAGGCAAAATACTATTTTTAGAAAATTAACTATAGTTATAAAATAAAAATACTCAAGGTGGGTGAGTTGGCACATGCATTTAGTATCAGCATCAGGAGCCTGAGGCAGAGGACTGCTTTCCAGAATTTACAACTTGATGGAGTAAGAACTTTTACAAATAGTTCCCCCTCCTTCTCTTTACAAATATAGTATTCCTCCCTTCTCTGTGGGGGATATGTTCCAGAACCCCCACTGGATGCCTAAAACATCAGATAGTATCAAATCACACACACACACACACACACACACACACACACACACACACACACACACATATATATATATATATATATATACACACATACATATATGGTTTTTAAATATATTTTTTTAATACATACTTACCTATGATAAAGTTTATAAATTAGGCACAATTAAGAGATTAACAACGGTCATCATAAAATAAAACAATTATAAAAATACACTATAAAGTAAAAGTTATTTCCAACTCATCGATTATTTATTCTGGAATTTTCCACTTACTATCTTTTGGACCATGGTTGACAACAGGTAACAAACCTTAGAAAATAAACCCGCAGATAAGACTACAGTATAGCAACAATGGATGAAATAGAAGCCTGGGCAGATTATTCTAAAGTCCTACATTTCATAATTCTTCTGGGTTCTAGTCTACCCTTTCAAGGTACTAGTAAGCAAAGACCACATACTCAGCAAGAAATCTGGCAGCATTCCTTGAAGGAATGGTTTATATTCACTGTATTCAATTCCTATCTTTCTGTTCTTCCCAATCCTTTTACCCTCATTCCTATGAAAAACAGTCAACAAATTTAATCATGAGGTCTATGCTGATCAATCTAATGGTCAATTTGCATCTTATTCAATCACATTTGACAGGGTTGACATAGGTTATTCTTTTGAAACACTTTTTGAACTTGGCCTTTGGGATACCACTCTTTGGTTTTTTCTCCTGACTTGCTGGTTGCTTCTTAAGACTTCTTTGATGCTTCCTTTTATCTCTACAATCTTAAAAGGGTAGAGTGGGTCAGGTCTCGGTACACACAACTCCTAGTCTCTGTGTTTTAAACACTATCTATATGTATATAATGCTCAGTCAAGAACTCTCTTTTAAATTCCAGACTCATATATCCAATTGCTTCTTCTGTATCACCATTGAATGGTTAAGAGATATACAAACTTATCAAAAGGACTGATTCTGCCCTGCCTTCACTCCCATACCTGCTCCTCCTCCAGCAAATGCCATCTCTATTGGTTCCAGTAATCAAACCAAAAATCTTGAGGTTACTCTTCACTTCTTTTTCTCTCTCATTCTCCACATCCAATCCATCAAGGAATCATGCTGAGTTGACTTCTGAAATACATCCAGAACCTGACCACTTCTTACTACCTCTGCTGCTCTGATATTGGGTTGTCTGTTTTGTTTGTTTGTTGTTGTAATGGGCATTGAACCCAGGGATTCTCTACCACTGAGCTATGTCTCCAGCCCTTTTTAAATTTTTTTTTAAAATTTTGAGACAGTGTCTAACTAAGCTGCTGAGGCTGGCCTCAAACTTGTGCTTCTCCTGCCTCAACCTCCATAGTCTCTGGGATTACAGATGTGTGCTACTGTGCCCAACTTACAACACTGGTTTTAAGACTATAAGAGTTAAAACACTGATATAAGAAGGTAAGACCTCATGATTGGGCTCTACTCCAGCATGCTACCATCTCTCCTCTCTTGTTCTCCCCAACTGTCCCTCAACATGACTGCGAGTCCCCACCTCAGAGCCTTGGATCTTGATATTCCTTCTGCCCGAAATGCTCTTCCCCTGTACTTCAACATGGTTGCTCCTTCAGTTCCTTCAGGTCTCTGTTCAAAGGTTGACTTATCAAAAAGATTTCTCAGACCATCCCTATAAGAGAAAAACTACTATTTCTCCCCACCTCCTTTCTTACAGTAATTTTCCTTACTCCACTTTATTTTTTTCCACTACATTTATAATCAATCCGACATGATTTGTTTCTCTTCTTTCCCCCTCTATCAGAATATAAGCTCTTTAAGTGAATTTTTTGTTCCCTGATATATTCTCAATGCCTAGAATAATGCCTGGCACATAGAAAGCATACAAATTTTCTCTGAATGAATTAATGGAATATAACACATCTTTTAAATCATATTTCTAGATTTTCATTTCTTTAATTTTATAATACTACTTTAGAGTAAATCTGTCATTAAGGACTCTTGATGTCCTTGAGGAACCCTGTCATCTATTCATGAAGCATTTGAGGGAGGGTTATAATAGGGATAAGGGATCCCTCACCGAAGCAAACGTGTTTGCTGTCTCTTCCGGATAGATGGATTAGACTCAAACACATGAGGCCGTTTCCGTTTCTTCCCTGTTGCCACAGCAGCAGCAGCAGCCATTCCCACAGGACCTGAAATAGTAAGTATGTGCTGAGATTGAAGGCTGCAACTGTATAAGACAGAAAGCAATTAAAGATACACAAAAAACTTAGCATTTCTTTCCTAATATATTGTCAGGGAAAATGGAATGTTTCTGATACTAACAATATACTTCACTATTGTTTAACATGAATCATACTTCGATTTACTAGTAAAACTTACAATGAATCTTTTTACAGCACAAATGACTTATACCTCCTCACCACACACCAGCTTGAAGTTTGTATAAAGCTGTTTTGCCAGCATGCCTGGTCTGTAATGGCAATATTCTCAGAGGTGCTAGGACAAACTGTGGCATTAAGATGAAGGTTTGTCAAAACCGAGACAAATTACTTTCATTTGCATTCCTGTGCCCTCTCCCATTACTATAACACTCAGCCAAGTTAAGGTACAAGAGAAAACACTCACACCTGAAACTGCAACAACATCACCTATAAGAAGAATATGTAAAAGAATACCATCTTAAATGAAAACTTTTCTTGTTATCTCTGGGAATTTTGCCAAAAAGGGGAGATGTTGGCCATTAGGTCAAGTTGATGAAAGCATCCTGGCAGAAAAGAGATGAAAACTTCCCTGCTCTAAGGAGGAAATCAGAATAAAATCTGGTCTGGCTTGCCCTAAAACTCATGTATTTTGTGTGTGTGTGTTTTTTGCAGGGTGGATGAAAGGTAACCCTAATGAACAATGAGAGTCTCTGATACCTGCACTCTCAATATATCAAATACATTTCTTTTTCTTTTTAAAAAGGTGTTCTACCTTTATCCTAATTAGTGAACCCTCTAGAAGGGTTAAATAAATCTAAATTGAATTGCTCACAATGATACCAGCATGTATATTCTAAGTGACTGAATTAAAATAAGCTTTCAGGAAAACCCAGATGAGCTTCTGTGCATGTTGTTTAGTAGCCTAATCAGCCAAACTTGATTCCCAAAAGCAAGTTGAAAATATTTGACTGCTTTCTTTCAGTTGGTACAGAAAGAAATCTTATTGATGCATTCTTTCCCAATGTTTTATTTTACAAAATTATAGTAAGCATACTTAAATTACTGAAATCTACCTTAACAAAACTTTTAAGTATGTACAATATTAATTAACTATAAGCATAATTTTGTACAAGCAGATATCAAGAACTTATTCCTCTTGCACAAGTGAAGCTATCTTTGTGTGTATGCATGCATGCACATGTGTGGTGCTAACGATCAAACCTAAGGCCTTGCACACCCTAAGCAAAAACTACCACTAGGCTACATCCTTCAGCCCTGAAACTCTGCTGAACATAAACTCCCCAGATCTCTTTCCCCTTAGTCCCACCATCCTACTCTCCGCTTTTACGAGTCTGATTATTCAGATACTTCATAAGTAGAATCATGCAGTATTTGTCCTTTTGTGACTGGCTTATTTCAATTAGCAAAATGTCCTCAAGATGCATCCACATCGTCACACAGCAGGATTTCCTTCATTTTGTATGGCTGAATATTCCATTTTGTGTACATATATGCTGTATCTTCTTTAGTCATTCATCCATCACTGGACATGTAGATTGTTCTCACATCATGGTTATTGTGTACAAGGCATCAATGAACGTGGGATACCTCTTTGGGATCCTGATTTAAAATCTTTTGGGTAAATATCCAACAGTTTCTATTTTGAATTTTTTGAGGAAACTCCAAAAAAGGGTTCCAATTACTCTGTAACCTTGTCAAAATTAGTTATCTTTCATATTTTTGATAACAGCCATCCTAACAAGTGTGTGGTGCTACTTTATTGTGGTTTTGATTTGCATCTCTTGATGTTCTACGATGTTAAGCATCGTTTCATATAGCTGTTGGCCATCTATTTAACTCTTTAGAGAAACATTTATTCAAGTCCTTTGCCCATTTTTAAATCAGCTTCTTCATTTTTCTATTGAGTTATAGGAATCCAACATTTTATCATGAATACTTCCACACATTAAGCAAAGTTAAAAGAATTTTAACATTTCACTACATACATTTATCCACTCACCAATCCAAATTCTTTTAAGGCATTTCAAAATAAAATGCAAATGTCAATGATAGCCCTAAATACTTCAGCAGGCATATCATTAGCTACAGTTCAATATTTGTTTGCATTTTTTTCATGAGGTAAAATCTACATATAATGAAACACACAAACTCAAGTATATAGTGTGTGTATATATAAATAAAAAAGGTTATTTCATGCCCCTTTCTAATCCTCCCAAAGGTACTACTATTTTCTGATTTTTTTCACGCTACTTTGGTGTTACTTATTCTAGAACTTCAATAAACAGAATTATACAACATATATCCTCTTTGGTAAAGTTCTTTTACTTAGAAAAATGTTTTTAGAATTCATCTATTCAGTCATTTGTTCCTTTTTGCTTGTTGAGTAGTATTCCAGTGTAAGAATAAACTAGTTTAATTAATCCATGGCACTTGGGCTATTTCCAGTTTTATGCTATTATGAATAAAATTGCTTAATTTGATCAATCTATAAATTCAACACAATTCAAATGAAAATCCCAGTAAGGGCTTCTGGGGAACTTGATAATTGAATCTATTATTTAAATGGAAGTGCAATGGCCAAGAATAGGGAATTTAAAAGATATTAAGAAGAGAGGACACTCATTCTATCACATATTAAATAATAACTATAATTAAATAGTCACTATAAAGCTATAGTTATTAAGTGTAGAACTGGCTCAGGGAATGACAAGCCAATAAAAATGAATTGAAAAGTTCATAAACATTCTACCATATGAGCAGATGGGTAAGAAAAGAATAGACTATCAAAAATATGGTGCTAATTGTCTGTGTGGAAAAACAGACTCTATCTTGGAGAAATGCAAATTAAACCAACACTGAAGACTGAGGACACAGCTCTGTGGTAGAAAAGGAGCCAAAGTGAGCTTGAGGCCCTGGATTCAATCCCCAAAACTGCAAAAAAATTATATTAAATTAAACTAAAAAAATACCAACATCAAGATATTATTTTATACCTTCTAGATTGGGAACAATGAAAAAGACTAATAATACCAAATGTGAGGATGAGAATCAACAGGTACTCTAGTGTAGTGGGAATTAAGGGTCAGGACCCCGAGATCTGGAAGCAGCAGCACAGTCCAAAGTCTGAACCCTGATCAAAGTAGGGTTTTAACTTTTATGCATAAGCAAGTTTTGGGTACACACAGGCAAGAAAGTTGGTGTCATTTTCTTGGAGGGTGCATTCTTCATTTCTTATATGGATGAAGCTTGTCAACAGCCCAGGGACTTGTAGCTCATATAGTTTAGGGACTTTTATTGCACTAAGCCTAAAAGGGAATTGTTCTGTCCCTGTTATTGTTTCCTGCTTCCACTACTGCTGTTATCTGTAAGGTACCTGATTAGCGGCTATAAGCCCCTATGGGTTAAATGTCAGTAAGCAGAGCTGTAGAGTGTCAGCATGCAAAACCACAGCCTGTCAGCTCTTAAATTGCTAAAGTTCCCATTTTGCTCTACCACGGTTTATGAAAATTTAAGTTAATACACTGATTTGGAAAGACAATATTTAGTAAAGTTAAAAATGTGCCTATCTTTGGCCCTCTAGCTCCCCTCCTGCGTATACCCTCAAGTAGTATTTTTAAAATTGTAGATTATGACCATTTGGTGGCTTGTGAGCAGTTTTTTCCCCCACTAAAATAGAATAAAACAGAACAGACTAGAAAATATTACAGAGTAATATTACTTGTAATAGGGTTAAGTATTATTTCATGAAAAATTGTTATTTCTGTTATATGTGCACTGAGCTATACCCCCACCTTTATTCTTTACCTTGCACAGCTCCTAAACCTTGTGTGGTTTGACTGTTTGTTTATTCTGGATCACAATTTAAAATATATTAATGTGAGACATTATAAAGAGTTTGAAAGCCATATTTAGAGAAACTATCACACATATGTATAAGAATATATGTAAAATGATTTTCATTTGCAGCAACTATGATGGCAAAAAATTATAAACCACCTAAGCATCTATGAATGAAATGTTCAGGTAATGAATGCAATCCCAAATAAAAGTTGAAATGAATACACAGCCATATTATTGCCATGAATAAATCTCAGAGAATAATGCTAAATCAAACATAGTATTATAGAAATATAATATAATATAATATAGCCAGGTGTAGTGGCGCATGTCTATAATCCCAGCGGCTCAGGAGGCTAAAACAGGAGAATTGCAAGTTCAAAGCCAGCCTCAGCAATGGCGTGAGGCACTAAGCAACTCAGTGAGATCCTGTCTCTAAATAAAATACAAAAAAGAGATGGGGATATGGCTCAGTGGTCAAGTACCTGCTGAGTTCAATCCACAGTACAAAAAAAAAAAAAAAGAGTAATATCATTAATATGTAATTTAAAATATGTAAAACAATGCCAGGTATTATTTAATGATAAATGTACACAGAACAAAAATATAAAGAAATGCAAGACAATGAGAAAGACCAAATCCAGAATAATGGTTCCTTAGGGAGAAGAACAAGATTAGAAAGAGGAACACTGGAAGTTTCAACCACATCTGTAATTCTTATTAAAAAAAAAAAAAAAAAAACTGAAGTAAACATGTCAAAATAGCAGCCATAATTGACAAAGCTGGGTAGTGAGTGCATGTGTTTGTCATATCAATCTTGAATGTTTCTATATTCAAATATTCAAGTATTTTATATTTTAGTATGAGGCAACTTTTCCAAACATCACATTGAAGGTACTAATTATGTCTAAGACCACGTGACATAATCTGTTACGCTATCCCTTATCACTTTGAAGAAAATAAAATAAATTCAATTTTTCTTAAAAAAAAGAAGTCCTCTAAAATTCACATTGGTGATTGACACCAAAACATTTGACTATCTTGAGATATTATTGTTTTTATTACCTACTGACTTCATTTTGTTGTACTACTTCTAAACTTTCTGCCTTGAAAATCAACACTAATTAGGGGCTATCAGCATTAAAATGGGCTGCTGAGAATTAGAAGCATTTTTGAGGTACAATGTGGTAAGATGGATGGTTATTTACCTTTTCTGGGTTTCCTTCAAACATGATGCATGCTATAGACTCACTCCTTAGAAAGATCTTCTAGCTAGCATTAAGTGGAGTTAGGGTTCAAATGCAAGCCCAGGCAATTAACCATGGCCTCTGCAGTCTCTGCAAATTCTTTACCTTACACAGCTCCTAAACCCTGTGTGGTTTGACTCACACCTGCCCTCTTGCACCATTTTCTCTTCTGGCTTACAAAGCTCCAACCACCGCTTCCTCCTTCCTATTTCCCATTAGTGAGTTCTTGCTCTGGTTATTTCCTCAGTCTGAAATGCCCTTTCCTTTGTTGATACTTAACTGCCTGTCAATGACAACCATCTCCAGAGAACGTTCTCCAACCACTCACTAGCCCACCTTCTCTCACCATTACTTTACCTTGTTATTTTCTTCAGAGCATTCAATGTTCACTGAAATTATATCACTTTACTATTTGTATCCCTCCTCCACCACTAGACTGACAGCTTTCTTGGGAGCAAGTTCTTGCCTGTCTTCTAGTAATAGTTCCTCAATAATTATTGTTAACACTAAATCTTTTTTCCCTCAGTTTCCACACATGTCACGTGAAAGGGTTACACTACAATACTTATCCTAAGTTTTTTTTTTTTTTTTTAATGCAGTGCTAGGAATTGAACTTAGGGAATATGCATGCTAGATAAGCATGCCCACTGAGCTACATGCCAGCCACCTTTTCTGATCTTAACACTATGACAACGCAGTATCTTCCTTTATAGGAAAAACATTGACTTAAATTCACTGTGTTAGGATGCCCTCTTCTGGGAAGTGTATGAATTTCACAAAACATATGTTAAACATCTCATCTGTTACACCACTAAGCCTTTTGGGGGTGGGGGCGGGAGTGCCAGGGTTCAAATCCAGGGTCTCATGCATACTGGGCAAGTGCTTTACCACTGAGCTATATCCCCAGCTCTAAGCCTTATTTTTAAATCACTATTCCAGAATTAACACATTAGATAATAACTGAAAATATAAGATTACTCATTCTTCATTGTATCCGTCTCCTTCCCCTTAAATACAGCATTCATTTATAAAGATAGTATTTTTGCTACTCCTGATCACTGATTTCCTGTCCAGCTTTTCCTAAATATCTTCTAAGGTATTTATTCTTTATATAACACTAGACCCATCTAGGCATAATTTTTATGGTGCTATTACAATATAAATAGAATAATATAAAATACAGCCCAGCTTTAAGTCACTTAGTACTCTAGAAAGTCTCAAAATCTTAAACTGGATTAAGATGATCCAGGATTCCCACTGCCCTCAGATATTTGGCAAAAGCAAACAAAAATCATTGTAAGCTGGGTGCAGAGACTCTAATCCCAGAGACTTGGGAGGCTGAGACAGGAGGATTGAGAATTCAAGATTATCCTCAGCAACTTAGCAATGCCCTAAGCAACTTAATGAGGCCCTGTCTCAAAATAAAAAATTCAAAGGGCTGGGAATGTGGCTTAGTGGTAAAGTGTCCCTGGGTTCAATCCCTAATACTCCAACCCCCCACTCCCCCCCCCAAAAAAAAATCTCAAAAGGAAATTAACATTATCCTAGACCCAAAATTTATTTCTAAAAATAAGTTTCCAAAAACATCATCCAGCATGCATTCAAACATAACTAGTATATGAAGAGACAAGCCAACATAAACAAGAAATGGCATTAAATAGCATACAACAGAGATCCATAAGTACTGCAGAAAGTTGAATAACCAGATAAATTGTAAAATCGTGTTTACTTTATTCAAGGGGATTTAAGAATACTCCCCTCCACTACCACCACCACAACTAGAAACTGCAACAGTGCAGATTTGTAAGGGAAAAACACACACTAGAAATTCTAGGGCTCGGGATGTAACTCAGTGGTATAGTACTTGCCTAGGCACAAAGCCCTGGGTTTGATCCCTAGCACTGTGAATAAATAAACATCTAAAACTAGGGAGAGAGGGGGAAAAAAAAAAAAAAAAAACAGCCCAAACCACTAACAATTATCAAAATTAGTTATTCAGTGAACAGATTTAAAAGCATTTTAGATACAGCTAAGAAAAAAATTAATAAATTAAAAGAACAAACTACACAGAATGAAGCATCAAAAGACAAAAGAATGGTACAGACAGAACAAAAGGCAAGAGACATGAAGGATTCAGTAAGGAAGACTAACGAATATAATTGGAGTCATAAAGGCAAAGAGATGGAATGAATCATAAACAAAATGTAATGGCTCAGATTTCTCAGAATTGAGATTCAAGATATCTAAAGAATCCTAAAGAGAAGAAATCAGAGCCAGATACATCACAAAACTAAAGACAGAAAATCTTAAAAACAGTTAGTAGGGAGGCACCAATATGGGAGATAACCTTCAAAGAATTAGTAGATACTAGAAACAGTTGGATTCTCAATAGCAACAATGGGACCCAAAAGACAATAGAACGCGAGAGAGTGGGACATTCAGCTTCTGATCGGGAACCTTCTTTGCACTAGCGACAAGAAAGGCAAGAAGATTTTTGTTCAGAAGTGTGCCCAGTGCCACACGGTGGAAAAGGGAGGCAAGCACAAGACTGGGCCAAATCTCCATGGACTGTTTGGGCGGAAGACAGGTCAGGCTGCTGGATTCTCTTATACAGATGCCAACAAGAACAAAGGCATCACCTGGGGAGAGGATACACTGATGGAGTATTTGGAGAATCCCAAAAAGTACATCCCTGGAACAAAAATGATCTTCACTGGCATTAAGAAGAAGGGAGAAAGGGCAGACCTAATAGCTTACCTCAAAAAAGCCACTAATGAGGAATAGCTACTGCCTTATTTAGTACAAAACAGAAATGTCTCTTGGCTTTTTTATGTGCACCATAATTTAATTGATGTGATACACCAGAAATCAGATCATGAATGACTGACAAAATTATTTTTGTTGGACAATCCTGATTTAAGTAAAACTGACTTGTAGTTAAATTAATATTTTGGTTATAATTCCCACTTCAGTAAATTCTATCACTGTTTCCCCTTTTTAAAGTTGTGGTTGGACTTAATTAGTAATGTTCAGTATTTCACAAAAATGGTGAATGACATCTGAAAACTGGCTTTATATTTAGTTTTATAGAACTGATTATGTGAATATGTTTAAAATATGGGTGAAATCACTTCACTCTCTCAGAACCAAGCATGATTCACATTTGTTTCAATTGGTGTTCATTAGCCTATTAAAGGCAGTGGTTGAAGATAAGGAAGCAGTGTCTACTTTATATTTTTGTTGACCATGCCCATTTAATTAGAATTCCCTGTATCTAAAATGCTGTTGTTTCCTTATGGAAAGGCATTTTAGTGTGGTTTATGTATGATATTAAATAAAGAATATTTAACACTTCTCAAAAAAAAAAAGACAGTAGTACACTATCTTTAATATTAGAAAAGAATATAACCACCAATCTAGAATTTCATACCTAGAGAAAATATCCTTCAAAGTTGAAGGATAAATAAAAGCGTTCCCAGATAAGCAAAAGCAGAATTTGCTACTAGTAGATCCATACTAAATGAAGTATTAAATGATGTCCTTGGGGCAGAAGAAAAATGATCTGATAAGGCAGCTGGAGACATAGAAAAAGTGAATATCAACTATGTATAAAACAATATCTTGTGGGGTTTAAAATATTCAATGAATGAATACACCAGATAATAATAGCATAAGACAGGAACACAGGAATGAAATTATATCCCCATGAAGGACAAAAGTACCAAGTATATAAGACTCTGATAAATGAATGATGTATGATTTAATTTCAAGGGGAATCATCAATAGTAAAGGCATATATATCTTCCAAATTAACAAGAAAAATAAAGAAAGAAAACTTTTCAATCACTCAAAAAACAGAAAGCCAAACAGAAAGGTAAATATAACAGGTGAGCAAAGATAAAACATGTAGTAAATATGTCAAATAAATAGGTGAAGAAATTATTTAATTTTTAAAGGTTTACATAGACAAATTATTAAAGATTTAATGTTAAATAAAAAATAATAAATTTACTTATTTATTTGGTATTGGGGATTGAACCTAGGACCTCGAGCATGTTAAGCATACACTCTAACATTGAGCTACATCCCTTGCCCCAAGATGACAAATTTAAATCTAAATATAGGGCTGGGGATGTGGCTCAAGCGGTAGCGCGCTCGCCTGGCATGCGTGCGGCCCGGGTTCGATACTCAGCACCACATACCAACAAAGATGTTGTGTCCGCCGAGAACTAAAAATAAATAAATTTAAAAAAAAAAAAATCCACATTGTCATTTGTTTAAAAAAAATAAATAAATAAATCTAAATATATCAGTTCTTACATTTAATATAAATGGAATAAATACTTCTGTTAAAAGCCAAAAGAGAGCCAGGCCTAGTGGCACACAGCTGTAATCCCAGTGGCTTGGGAGACAGAAGCAGGATTGTGAGTCAAAGCCAGCCTCAGCAACTTATCCAGGGCTTAAGCAACTCAGTGGGACTCTGATTAAATAAAATATAATGAAAGGGCTGGAGATGTGGCTCAGTGGTTGTTAGGCGCCCCTGGGTTCAATCCCTGGTACCAAAGACCTTCAGAATGGGATAAGACAATAAAACCAAAGTCATATATTAATAGTAAATGACTGTAGATCAAGTCCCAGTAATTATATGCAAGGCTTAAAAAATTGTGGTAGACTACTTACCTAGCATACGTGAAGCCCTGGGTTTGATCCCCAGCACCGCTAAAAAAAAAAATTGTGATGAAGATAAATGTGAGAGTGCCTGCCTTGATCCTAAATCTTTCAGATAAGAATGGTACCACAAGCAAAGGAAAAAAAAAAAAAAAAACCCAGTCCAAATATTACCTGCAGCAGCCAGATGGGCTGTAACCTCATCAGCCGCTGTTGAGTTGAGAATATCTGAATCATCATAAGAGGTGTCCTCAGGAGAAGAAGGGGAGTCTTCATCAGCACTTAGCATACTGTGTTCAGTGTAAGTAGCCACGTGGACCTGTTGTACTTGTTGGGCCACTGCATGGGCTTCTATGGTAGCCATGTGTTCAGTTTGAGTCACTCCGTGTTCCTCCATGAAGATCTACTGCCAGAATAAAAGAAAAACAAAACAAAAAAACAGAATTCAGTGTGTAATGTAGCACGATTCCTAAACTAAGAAAAAGATTGACACTTTCTCCAAGAACAAAAGGACTTTGACAAGCCTGATTTTACTACTTACCTCATCACACCAAGCCACGGGAAACAGAAAGCACTATTCAAATATAACATAAAAATGGAGGGGGTCTGGGGCTGTGGTAAAGTGCTTGCCTTGAATATGTGAGGCACTGGGTTCGATCCTCGGCACCACATAACAATAAATAGATACTGTGTGTTTATCTACAACTAAATAAATATTTTTTTTTTAATGGAGGGACGTTTTCCTTATGTGAAACCATTTTGATGGAAATTCACTATGATAATTTTATATCTCATGTCACAACTAACAAATATTCTTGACACAAATAACAAAAAGACTTTAGAACACAACAAAAATTGCCAGGCATGATAGTACCTGCCTGTCATCCCAGCTGTTCAGGAGGCTGAGGCAGGAGGATCACAAGTTCGAGGCCACCATGAACAACTTAGTGAAATCTTGTCTCAAAATAAAAATAAAAAGGGCCAGGGATATAACTCAGTGACAGAGCATTTGCCTAACACATGCAAGGTCCTAGGGACCTGTCCCTAGTAATGCAAAACACAAAACAAAACAAAATATCCCAGTGACTAGCATTTGACATTATGGACAAAAAAACTGTAAATAAGTGAAATACTTAACATTTTCTTTGTATTTCAAAGAAAATGGGAGTTAACCCCCTCATACAATTATTCAAATTGACTTCTCTGCTTACAAAGCTACATTTCTTGTAAACCCTAAACTGAAGCAGTAAATTATAATGCAGTGAAGTTTGCTCTCCTGCTGTACTTACAATCTCCTTTCCCTTTCTAGTTCATTATTCTTGAAAAAAAAAATGAGCACAAGATATATGTATATAGATTTAAAATTAAAATGTGCATATTATATATATTGTTTACCTTTCTCATATTAAAATATATCTGGACATTTTAACACATTAAAACTATATAGAGGGACTGGGGTTGTGGCTCGTGGTAGAACACTTTCCTAATACATGTGAGACACGCAAATAAATAAATAAATACATAAACGAATAAATAAATAAAAATAAATTTTGAAAAATCACTATATAGATCTACCTTATTGTTTTTAAAAAGCTACAGAATACGTCATTGTATGATGTGCTGTAATTTATGTAACCAATCACCTACTGATGAAGCAAGGCTGCTTCCAAAATTTTGATGTTATAAACATCAGCATCGTGAATTCTTGCATATAATATTTTGTATATTGGTCCCTGAAAAATTTTAAAATAGAACTACCGTACAATTCAGCAATTCCACTTCTGGTACTTACCCAGAAGAATTGGAAGCAGGGTCTCAAAGAGAGATTTGTATACCCATGTTCATATTCATAGCAGCATTATTCACAATAGCCAAAAGGTAGAAGCTACCCAAGTGTCCATCAACGGGTGATTGGGAAACAAAATGTGGTACATACATACCACATATTATTCAGCCTTAAAAAGGAAAAAAAATGCAAATTAGGAATAAAGGGGAACTTCCTCAACTTGTTAAAAGACATCTACAAAAAACCTACAGCTACCATTATATTTAATGGTGAGAAACTAGAAGCTTTTCCACTAAAGTCAGAAAAAAATAAGGATGTCTCCTCTCAATACTTCCAACATTGTCCTAGAAATGCTAGTTAATGCAATAAGACAATACATAAACAAACAGTACCGTGATTGGGAAGGAAGAAACAAAACCGTTTCTGTTAATGGATGGCATATTTTTCTATGTAAAAAATTTAAGACAATCAACAAAAATCTGGAACTAATAATAATTATAGCAAGGTTGCAAGATACAAAATGAACATTCAAAAGTCAATGTTTTCCTATACAGCAGCAATGAACAAATGGAATTTGAAGTTAAAACATGATATTATTTATATTAACACCCACAAAAAATGAAATCCTAAGGTATGAATCTAACAAAATAGGTACTAAATCTATACAGGGAAAATTATAAAACTCTGATGAAAGAAATCAACTAAATAAATAGATATTCCATATTGATGGATAGGAAGACTCAATACTATCAATTATCAGGAGTAACAAATGAATTATGGGTCTCTGAACTGCCCAAAGACAGAGGCAACATGTCTCTTGAGACAAGGGAATTTCTCAGTGCAAAGGTCCTGATAGAAAACTGCCCAGTTGTTTAGTGATGCCCTGTTCAAAGGGAAATTCTTTGCTAGTCAAGGAGTTTTATTATTTCAAAACTTTGGGTTCAAATGTCTGCTGCCTGGAAGTAGAGTTCTAATGGGGCTGCGTTTACCCTCAGCTTCAGTGTTGTTTATCTTATAATTTTTTTTTAAGTTGTAGATAGACTCAATACCTGTATTTTAGTTGTTTTTATTTTTACGTGGTGCCAGGGATGGATCCCAGTGCCTTGTGCACGCTAGGCAAGTGCTCAACCACAGCCCCTGGTTTTGTTTATCTTGAAGCAGCTTTCTCACAATAAATCCTTCTGAAGTTTAAACCTATATAGTAAACGTGCAAGCTTGCTTGTGGTCAGTCTTCCTCCACCAGAAGCAGGCTGGACCGCAAAGCCCTAGCTTTTTCTTTACTTTTGTGTCTGTCTGTTTTTTTCCTAATCCCCTTATCAACCAGTTTGGTTACCCGTAAATAAACTGTTGCTCAGGATGTGACAATCAACATGTCAGTTCTTTCAACTTCATCTCTAAATTCAACATAATCCCAAACAAAATCTTAGCAAGCTATTGTGGATATCAACAAACTGTTAAAATTTATACTGAGAGGCTAGCTAGGCATGGTGGCACACACCTGTAATCTCCGTGATTTGAGAGGCTGAGGCAGGAGGATCACAAATTCTCAGCAATTTAGTGAGGCTCTAAGCAACTTAACGAGACCCTATCTCAAAAAGGCTGGGGACATAGCTTAGTGGTACAGTACCCCTGGGTTCAATATTCACCTCCGCCCCCCCCCGCCCCACCCCGCCCCGGGCTGCCACCAACACACACACACATACAAATGTTTATCGGAGAGGCTGGAGACCCAGAATAGCCAACAGAATACTGAAGAACAAGAAAGTAAGAGGATTGACACCATCTGACTTTAAGAACAGAAATCAGGACAGTATGGTACTGGCAAAAGAACAATTAGTTCAATGGAACAAAAACAGAGAGCCTAGAAATAGACATGCATAAATACAGTCAACTGATTTTTTAAAAAATATATTTTTTAGTTGTTGATGGACTTTTTTTATTTATTAAATTCAGTGCTGAGAATTGAACCTAGAGCCTCACATATGCTAGATATGTACTCTACCACTGAGCTACAACCCAAGTCCCAGTCAGCTGATTTTTTTCATAGGGGGGGCAAAGCCAATATGAAGTTTCAACAAAGTTAGTCTTTTCAATGAATGGGTGCTAGAACACATATACATTCACATCAAAAAACGAATCAAGACACAGACCTTATTCTAATTAATTATTTAAGATGGAGTCTTGTCCAGGCTGCCTTGAACTTCTAGGTGCAAGGAATCCCCTGCTTCAGCCTCTTGAGTAGCTGGGACTATAGACACCAACCACTGTGCCCAACCAGATCTTCTATTCTTCACAAAAATAAGCTCAAAATGGATCATGTACCTAAGTATAAAACGACTAGATGATAATATGGAAAAAAAATCTAGATAACTTATGGCAATGACTTCTTAAATACAATGCCAAAGTCAGGATACATAAAAGAAAGAATTGAGAAACTGGACTTCAAAACAATAAAAACTTTTACTCTAGACAGGCACAGTGACGTTATGCCTGTAATCCCAGTGACTCAGGAGGCTGAGGCATGAGGACTGAAAGTTCAAAGTCATTCTCAGCAACTTAGTGAGACCCTATCTCAAAATAAAAAATAAAAAGGGCTGGGGATGTGACTCGGTGGTTAAGTGCTCCTGTATGCAATCCCTGGTACCAAAAACAAAACAGAACATAAAACCAGAAAAATAAAAAAAAATTTATTCTGTGTAAGACACTGTCAAAAGAATGAGAAGGCAAGCTCATAGGTTAGAGAAAAATATGTGTAAAAAGACATATCTAATAAAGGACTGTTATCCAAAATAAACAAAGAATTCTTACAACTCAACAATAGTAAAATAACCAATCTGAAGAGAGATCTCAAAGAAGGTATACAAGTGATAAATAAGCATAGAAAAAAATTTTCAACATCATATGTCAATAGGGAATTGGATATTAAAACAAGATACCACTACATGCCTATTAGAATAGGTACAATCCAAATCACTAGCAACACTAAATGCTATCCAGAATGTGGATCAAGAATTGTCACTCATTGCTGGGTACAGTCATTTTCAAAGACAGTTTGGCATTTCTTACAAAACTGAATACACTCTTACTATACGATCCAGCAATTATAGTTCTTGGTATTACCCAAAGGAATTGAAAACTTAAATCTGCACATTGAAAACAAAAATCTGCACATTGATGTTTACAGCAGTTTTATCTGCAATTGCCAAAACCTGGAAGCAACACAATGTCCTTCAGTAAATGAACAGATAGAAAAATGTTGTTGATCCAAACTATGAAATTATTATTTGGCACTAAAAAGAAATTAACTATCAGGCCATAGAAAAACCTTAAATTAACATTACCAGGTAAAAGGAGTCAATCTGAAAGGATTATATAACACATGATTTTAACTATATGACCTTCTAGAAAGGGTAAATTATGCAGACAGTAAAAGGTTCAGTGATTTCCAGGTATTAAGGGGAATAGAGGGATGAATAGGCAAAGCACAGAGGATTTTGAAGGCAGTAAAACTACACTGTATGACAACATGGTAGTAGATACATATCATTATACATTTGTTCAAACCCATAGAACATACAACACCAATGTAAACACCTAATGTATACTTCTGGAATTTGGTGACAATGATGTGTAAATCCAGGCTCATCGACCAGGACAAATGCACCTCTCTGGTGCAGTAAGTTGATAGAGGGGAAAGCCATGAATGTATGAGGGCAAGGATTATAAAAGAAATCTTTGTATCTTCCATTCAATTTTGCTGTAAACTTGAACTACTGAAACAAACAAAAAAAAGTAGTCTATTTGAAACTAATTTTTTTAAAAAAGGAAATTCTGACACATTGCTACAACCTGGATGAGATTTGAGGAAAAGGCATTTTGCTCAGTGAAATAAGCCAGTGGCAAAAATAAATACTATATAATTTCATTTACATGAGGTAGTTAGAGTAGTAAAAATCACAGTTAAGCAAAGTGGAAATGTAGTTGCCAGAGGCTGAGGGGAAGAGGAAATGAGGAGGTGCTTCATGGGTTCAAAATTTCAGTTCTGTAAGATGAAAAGAGTTCTGGAGCTTGGATGCACAATATGATTTTACCACAACTTGAAATTTCAAAATCCTTATACAAGTTTCACTTCTATACAAAGAATGAGATTAATATCAGAACAGAATTAAAAAACTAGCCCTTTATTTTCTTTATTTAAAAATTGTACACACTATTTGATAATTGTTTTTAAGAATAAATTCTTGAACTGGTGATGTGGCTCAGTGGTATAGCGCTTGCCTGACATGAGGCCCTGGGTTTGATGCCCACAACCACAAAAACAAAACCAAACAAAAAGAATAAATTCTTGAAGATATAATTGCTTGGTCAAAGGACATATACTTTAAATTTTGACCCACCCATATTGAAAAGTTGAGTATACAACCTTATGTGTATAAACCCACACAAAAATGTGAAATTTGACTATTGTGATAACATACATCACTGCATATCTAGAACTTACCAAAAGAAATTGCAACCATATAGATACAGACATATGACTTTTATGGCTACATCTAAAAGGAACATAATAATCTATTTAAATTCTTGTCACTTTTACTCTGCTCTATTATAAGTCTCATTTTCCATCTTTGGGGACTTCTAAAATCCTTTGTTCCTCTGAGTAATCACTTTAAGTTTCATCCTGCTGTCTTTCTTCTTCAGGTCAACTGTTTGCATGCAGATGACCAGATTCTTATTTTTTGTTCTTGATTCTGTTTTAATTCTTGCACTATTCACAAATCTTTCTGCTTTTTTAATTGCCTTTTTTTAAAAAAGCTCTCATACCATTCTACACATATGACAATTCATCCTTCTAACATAGTAATTATTAACTTTGGAACTATTTAATTATCTCAAGGAGTATGCTGTATTTCAATATAAAGTTCACTATAATTACAAAATAAAACAACCACAGGGTTCCACAAATCCAAAAAGATTAGCAAGCACTCAGCTATCACACCGATCCCCTTCTCACTCTTCCTTTCCTGTTGAGGTCATCTCCCCCCGCCATCACACCCTCCTTTTTCCAAATGAAGCTTTTCAAGAGGAACATGGCAAAATAATATTTATTTAATAGAGAAATAAAAGGAAGAAAAACAGGGTAAAATGTTAACATTTGGAAAATCTGGG